TCTGAACCACTGAAAATTCCAGTCATTGTTTAATGAAGTAGCCCTTTCAATGTACTTTTTGGAAAAAAAAAATCATCGGGTAACTGGAAATGGGTGAGGGCTGGGGCCAGGGACAGAAATTTATTCTGAGTCAAGCATGTTTATGATGAGTTCTGTAGTCTGATGCTGGGGAACAAAAGGCTCATTCTTCAGTCCCCAGAATGAGGACTAACAGTGAAACAGCCTTGCTTAGTATTGTCCTGCAGCATCAGATAACTTTCATCAAGGGTTGTCACAGGATGATGTGTTCCACCACACAGGTGCTTCGGTTTCAGTAGTGGGAGAAGCACTTAGCATTTATAGATCTTTTTTTTAAAAAAAGTGGCCTTTTACTAACGACAGGATGCAAACCCAAACATGACCCTGTTATTATCCCACTGGCCAACCACCAGAAGGATTGTCTGTGTCCCAGATTATCTCCAGAAATTATTTTATTGACAAGTTGTACTTCTCTGTCTCTAGTTTTGTCCACGGGGCTTGGAGCAGTCGCATGTGTCCAGGTGCGCTAATCTACCAAAGAGGATGCTCCTGGAAGCAGCCCTGTGCATGGAGTGGATTTATGAGACCATTTTTCCCCTTCATGTAATATTTTCATTGTTGTCCAATTCCCTTACAATAGGAAACCATGGGTATGTTGGAAGAAAAATCGGAAGTCAAATAGCAAATATAATACAAAAAATAAAAAAGCAATAAAACCTGAATTCTGTAGACATTTGTTATACATAGTGCTCCCAAGTTAAAAAAAAAAAAAAAAAGAACACAGTTTTTTCATCTCCTTCTTGGGACAGCAAGATAAAAGCTTATTAAATAGATCAGCAGAAGTATCTGTGTTTGGAAAAAAGGAGAAAGTTGCTTGTATTTTCTGCTTCGAACAGTTATTCAGGGGCAACAGCAGAAGCAAGAGAGTCCTTTATTCCTGCCATTTGGCCCTTCCTAATAATCAGATTCGCATGCAGGTTTTAGCAGCGGGATGGGCTCAGTTGGGACAGCACACGTGTTGCCTTTCTGGATTGTTTGCTCACTGTCGACTCGGACTTGTTCTAGAGGAGGCTGCCGGTTGACCTCCTTTGTCTCCAGCAGGATTGATTGATTGACGGATGTTGTGTCTGTTCATTTTCTGCATTCTTCTCATTTCGTCGAAAAAACTGTGGCGTGGTATCCCATGTTCCTCACACACATCATTTTTGCAGAAGAAATTTGTTTAGCCAATATGTCACCTTAGTTTATGAAATCTTCTCTCGCTTTTGTTCAGCCCCCAGTGCTCTGGTTAGGTCATACCATTCGTTTCATGCACGGAGAGCATCACCAGCAGCAAAATTTAACATTTGGTCCTTTTAGGTATAAAAATGAATCAAATCCCTGACAAGATTTATTTATGGTTTATATTTCAGGAGCCACCCCCCCCCCCAACTACACATGCACCCTTTTATGAGCATACAGCAAATGTTACTAACGGGTACTTTTAGTTTTTAAAATATGGACAACAGTACTCCATGCAGTAAAAGATTTGAGCGATTAATGCTACCCTTATGCCTCTTTTGAGTAGTTTTAGCCATGGGGCTTGGCACTGCCACCATTGTCTTTGTGCCAAAAAATATCCGCAGCGGCTGTCGCATTCTAGTACTGGAGGGTTGTCTCGAAAATTCTGCAGTGAGCGCGCAGGGTTTGTTCATCACCGCTATGTCTTTAAAATATTGGGAAAATAGAACCTTAGCTCTTTCGAAGCTCTGTTGTGGTTGTGGGGCTGGTGGAGGTGGGGGGGGGGGTGAAGAATGGAGAAAGGAGGAATGAAGCTGTTGGCACCAGCCCCTTGGTGTAAGTGACAGAATTCCATGCCTAGCATAGAGCAAACATACATATTTAGGAGCTTTTGTGTTCATCAGCTCACATAGGTACTTAAAGAGTCCCCCTCAACAGTGTCATTAGTGCTTTTGGAAATTTTGTTATCTGAAACAAATGTTCCAGTGAATTTTAAGCAGAAAGTCAACATCAAGACCATAGCTAATTTTTAATGGACAATTTACACAAAAGGTACAGGTTTTTTTTTTTTTTTTTTTTTTTTTTCCCCCCAGAAACGGAGGTGTCATTTTAAAATGGCTGCTTTTTATCCTTGGGAGATGATCGGAGTTGCTCTCTTCTGTTGGGGAAGGTGCTTGGGTTTTATCCACAATCCCTGCTTATTTTGCTCCCAAACAGGGGTTTGGGCTCCGAGGGCAGATTTATAGTTGAATTTGGGAACAAAAAGATGTAATAAAGTTAAAGGCTTACACAATCAGAATGAAATGTGTTTGCTCCTGATCTCTGGAGCGATCTATTTGATGGTAAAAGTGGATGCTACAGATGAAATCTTCACAAGGAGCATAATCCTTCAAAAAAAAAAAAAAAAAAAAAAAGGCAGGGCCACCTCCCAGCCTCCTGCTGGCTGCGCTGCCTCTTTGGTACCTCGCAGACTTCGACAGAGTCCTGGACGGGTGCCCATTGATGTCATGGAAACACTCAAATTACTGAGAATGATTCATGTCTATGCTGGTCTCTTATCCTCCCCCACACAAACAGGAGTAGATTTTTAACCCTGACAACTTGTAATTTGCAGTGGGTTTATTTTTGTATCTGGATAAATATTTTTTAACAAGCAAAATTAAGATTAAGCAGTCTGTATCTGATATGATAGTAAAGAGTACTTGGGGGACTCTGTGCACCAGGGTTTCAGAATCTTCTCCCTGCACCCTCTTCGTTGTCTCACTTCCAAACCACCCCCTGCCGCCGCCGCCCCCCAGCCCCATGGTCTTCCCTTCCTGCTCTTCCTCTTTCTTTCTTTCTCTCCCACCTATTCCACTGTCTTTTTGAAATCTTCTCATTTGCATTGCTCCTCTAGCTTTAAAATAATGGAAAGAATCACCCCAACTTCTGGGTGTGAAGTGAGGCAGATCCTGGTAGGAAAATGCTCCTTTCCAGCTCTGTGTCCTGGAGTAGAATTAGGAAATGATGCTGGCTGGTGAAATTCTGCAGGGGGTCACTTGGGTAATTCCTTTTAGAGGAAAAAAAGTAGGTGGTCTTTCTTACTCCTGTTGTATTTTACAGTTCAGTGTTTAGAAATTACAAAACCAGGACGTATGATCTTCAGTTTCCTTTGAAGTCAGAGCAGATTCTATTGTATTTATCTTTCTGTTTTGCTGCCTTTCTACCTGTCTGCCTGCCCATCTACCTGTCTGCCTGTTGCCGAACAAGTGAATATTATGTCACAGTGAATTATGCAGTGGTTGCATAGAGGATTTTTTAGATGCAAGAGGTTAAAGAAGGACACGTGTCCTTTGATACAATGCACAAAACTATTTGTTAGTAACATTTATGAAGACAAGCTAAAGGGTGTAAGCAGCTTCAATTTGACTTACACAATGAGTGACTATGTATGATCATTTACTCTGCTTGTACAGGAAAGTGCATTTTTGCTTCAATGTGAAAGCCCCATACAATGAAACTTACTCTCTTAAATCTCTCAGGACAGGCAGTCTGGGGGATGGTATCTTATTTCGCTGGAATTGAAACTGATATGAGCATTGATTTTATACTTTGCACTGAACACTAGACCAGAAGTGGGGTTGAGGGGATGTTTTCCTAAGTTTGCAATTCATTGAAATCAGTAGAAAAGTTAATATTGGACAAGGGAGGGTTAATTCTTAAGACTCAGGTTGGCTTTCTTTGCAAATCACCTTCCATGTGGATTGAATTTATCAGATCCACTCTTTGTGTAGTAGAAGGAAGGCACGTTCTGATAGTTGACTGAAAGATGAAAAGACTACTGTTACTTTTAGCATTTGTGTTCACTTGGGTTGAGAGAGGAAAACTTGGGGGCTGTAAACTCTAGAAGGTTGTCCGTTCAGTCCCTCCAAATACAAGTTTTGAATTTTCCCAGTGGGAAAAGAATAGTGCCATGTAGCTCTACTCTAGAAGAAAGAAGCGTCCTTCAGTCTTGAGTGGGGTAGGATCCTGGGCACTTGACTGCCTCACTACCCCCTTTTAAGTCCTGGTACAGACAATTTTCTGTGATGACTTTTCCTGTTGTTAGTTGTATTCTACTGCTTAGATGTCTTATAATGCGATTTCATTATCTATCCTGCCGTTTTTTCAGGCTAAGTATACTTTCAAAAGAAACTAATGTGCATTCTTGATTTTATCCTTTGATATGGCCCAATAGCATTTGAGGCTCTATACATCTCTGTGGAGAAGTCTACAGATAAAAATTAGGTTGTCAGAATTGGAACAAGACGTTTTCATATCCCTGGATACTTGTGCTGCTGAGTCTACTGGTAGAATGTGAACTTGGGTTCAGAGTGGACAAAAGTCATTAACCCTCCTTCTCCAATGTAAATTTCATCATCATCTTGATTGTGATGGGACTTACTTTACCCCAGGGAAAGGGAGGAGAGAGAGAGAGAGAGAGAAGGGGAGAGAGAAAGAAAGAGTAAAGGGGAGAGAGAGAGAGAGAGAGATTCAGAATTTTGAGTAGTTTCTTTGCTAAATTCACCATCTGGAGAGCCTGTGATTGATTAGCTTTGGCCTCACCATTAAGTGTCAATATAATCAATGGGAATTACTAGGCTAGGGTCATTACATAGATAATTTGCCTGCTGTGTAAATAAAAATGAAATTGTTTAAATTTCGGGAGAGAGAAAGAAAGTGAAAATAAGGACTGACAATTTGTTTGTTAGAGAAAGTGGAGGCCATTGGAATGACAGTTTTTGGAAGTGTGGAGCAGTTTGGCTAAGAATAGGAATGAAGGATATTTTTTTCCAGTTTATCATAGTCAGAGTGAGGAAGTGCTGTTCCCTCTCTTGCTTGCATACATTGCCTACTTTACGTATGTAAACATCGGAGAAGAGAAGTAGATGCCTGTTACCTGCAGGAGGATTTTTTTACAAGGAAAAACATCATTTACACTTTTTTGTTATTTCTCTTGGCAGGTAAAACAGAAAGAGGCTCCTACTCATCTTATGGGAGAGAATCAAACTTACAGGGTTGCCACCAGGTAAGTGAGAATCTGGGTTGAGGAAGGGTTTGGGAGGATGGACCTGGAAAATCAGTTTGTTTTGTAACTGTGGCTATACGTGTTCAGCTGTGACACTGAGATGTACTGAAAGTCTGTCTTTCATGAAAGAACAGAGAGCTTAGGACTAACAAACACTTCATCTTTAGATCTCTGCCGTTTCAGAGCTGTAGTCGCTGGCTTGTGTTGCTGCTTTAATCCTCAGCCGGGACCAGTGGCACTGTTTGCAAACCAGCAATGCCAGTTAAAGTGGTTCTATCAAAAGAGTTTATTTGCAGTTAAGAACTTCAGAATTTCTTCCACAGGAAATGCTTTGTGGAGGCATATGTCATACTCTGGGTTTTGGGTGGCGATTGGCGATTGCCCTAAATTATAGTTTTCATAGGGGCTGTATGATGTTGTGTGAAAACAGGGTTGTATTGAGGGATAAAAATGTCTGTGAAAATATGATTTGTTGTCCCTTTTTGTTTCTGAATTGTTTTTGGCTGAAAGTCAAGGCCAGCAGGCTAACAGCAAAGCCGTCTCAAGGGAAGCATGCGTGAGCTAGAAAAATAAGAGTACTTTAATTAAATAATAAAATGCCAGTGTAATACAAAGGTGTAGCGTGTGTGTTTGTGTCTCTTACGGTCTACATTTGTATACTTTTAACTCTCCAGAGAGAGCCCTTTGCTAAAAATACTATCAATAGGAAAAGACATAAGCTTTGTTTTAAGACTGAGATTTTATACATGTTTTCTATTTGATTTCCGTATCGGTGTGAGTCATATATTTAAAACCTTTCAAAACATTTTATACGTCGTTTTTACAAGTGCATTGCTTTCTTACTTTAGAAAACTCTTACAGAATTTGATAATCCTCTTTAAAATCCGAACCGCTTTGCTGTTTTATTCTTTACGGAAACAGAAGGGACATTCTTTCTGTGCTGGAAGGGGGATGCTACCTCCTGAACTCTCTCACCCTCCTGTTTTCTTTAAAGATATGGGGGAAAATTCTATTTTGCATTTTCAGTCACCCTGCTTTAATATATCTCTGAAAAAAATGTAAGCACACATTCGTTTCAGTAATTACACATAGCCTAGAAAGGAAGTTTTCTTTGCGTATCAGTCACATAGCACTAAAGGTGGAATTCTGGTGGGTTGGTCCCCCCCCCACCCCCCGCCCCGTATATATTTGCATTTTTAAAGTTTACTCCTCTGGCCCAGTTACACGTTCAGTTCAGTCATATTCGGCATCTGAAAGATTTGTTGCGATGAGGTGAACAGTGCTTGGTTAAGCACTCCTGCCGGAGTGCAGTTCATGGCAGTTTGTTTGGAAAGAATTCTGCAGGAAAGAAATTTATAGCCATTCCAGCGCAACGGAAACATCTTTGGAATGTGAGTGCAAATGTTCGGGGCAGATAGCCTGGGCGACAAGCCTCTCCGTGCTGTGTCTCTGGTGGAAAGCTCGCAACTCCTGCAGAAGAGCCTGTTCCTGTGGGTCTGGTTTCAGAGGGTCAAGGCAGAGGTCATTAGAGTTTTGGGGAGAAGAAAGTGTACAACATCCTTCCTTTCTGCAGATGGTCATGGCAGAGGGCTCTGTTTTCGCTGGGCCCCTTTGGCTGGTCATTGAGAGAATAGGCTTCCTCGCCCCTGTATCCTTTCTTCCTAATAGGAATTGGCGTGATTCCTCACAGACACAAAGATTTCCTCTGCTGAGTAAGCGTGAGGCCCCTTAACTTGTGAAAGCATCATCCAGACCGTGTGAGGCTGTCTGTGTGTGCAGCACACAGACCCTCCTCCCTCTGCTTGTGGGGAACACTTCCCTACTTCCCGCGGGCGAGACTGAAGTTAAATTTTTTTTTTCCAAACACAAGGTGAGAAGTGGTAATGGGCAGAGGGTGGAATAGAGGCGGGTGACTGGCGTGTGATGGCTGGATTTCTGGGCCTTGGGAGGTTCATTCTGAGACATCTGTGTCCAGGCACATGCTTTTTGCATAAAAGAACAGGACTGCCTTTGCTGTTCTTTCCAAAGTCTTCCTAATGTAGCCGCGGAGTGTAGAGCTTCCTTCATTCTTTATTTCTGCTGCAGGGTTGTGAGTCTTGCAGGAAGTGACTGTCTGTGCTTAGCTGCTTAGCATGGGCTCAGCAGTGTCCCTAACTGTGTGATTACTTCGGGATAAAGAAAAGCGGAGGTTTGGCAATGGACTGTTTAGGGAAGTAGGTCCTGGACGTGGAAAGTGTACATGGTAGGAATCTCTGTTTTGTGCAATTTGAGAATAGAACAGAACGTAGTGTGTCTTTTGGTGAATCAGTTTCCTTGTGCCGTGTTCTTTGAGTCCCTGTCTCAACCCCAGCTATGCAGACCAAAGAGGCGCGGTCTGGTCTCTGTATCTTGGGCTTGGAGTCTAAATAGCAGATCACAGCTGAAATGCTTCCCCACTGTGTGACCTGGTGAGTGACTCTGGGAAGGGCAAGCTTTTGTTTTCTCCTGTTTACTACATTACCGAGATGCTGGAGAGTAAACCTCTAGCTGAGGTGCCCCGAGGAGTTCCAAAAGCTGCTTTATCATGTTGTAATGATGTGTCCTGTGGACTGAAAGGGAGGAGCAGTGTGAGATGGGAACAGGCTTGTTCCAGTCCCAGTAGCCTTTTATCTGGTGTGGAGAACTGGTGGTGTTAAGCAACAGGTAGTACAGCGCTGCCCCTGGGGAGTAAATCATTATTGCAAGATGTATGTTGTTTCAAAAATACATCAGGTTAAACATTGTGTGTGTATGTGTGTGTGTGTGTGTGTGTGTGTGTAAAATCTCCTTTATGTTTATCTTAAGGATTTAATGCTAACAGCGATACACATTTTTTAAATCAATGTTTTAGCAGAAAAAAAGCAAAAATTAGGGAGATCTTTATTATCTGTTCTTTTCATTAAAAAATAGTAAATGGAAAAAATAAATTCATTAGTGCATTCCCATGTGAAATTAATCAGAAGTAAAGATGTTGACTTTCTGGGACTTTAGAAATTATATAGAAAATGAACTTAAAGGCAAATAAAATTGGCCTAATGGACTTTCTTTTTGTTTTCGCTAAACATGGGAAAACTAATTTAAACAAAATTAGGGTATGAAAGTCACACACTGGCTCAAAATGTTTCTGCCAGATTGCAGCCTTATACTACTTTTACTGGCTGAGAAAATAAATTTTGTAATGGAAAGTCTGACAGAAATGAAAATCATAGAAATAAACTTTTTTGCAAGATGGTTTTACCCCAGTCTTATCATAGCCAATGGCTAATATCTATAATGAATATCGTTGCAAATGGCAGAGTGAAAAAATATCATTTGCTTTTGGCCGCTTTAGCTGCTTTGAATGTTCATTGATTTGCAAACTTTTAATTTTGCTGAAATCCACTGTTTTTCAATGAAACGATGATGTCAACACAAATGATCGTTATTTGGGCCAAAGAGTCCCCTTTAAATGGATGGGAAGTTCAACATTGATTATCAGGAATGGTTTGTCTTCCTTTTCAGGAATGTAGCCTGACTCTCAAACCATGGTTTCATTATTAATCTCTTCTGGGCAGGATAGATTGTGTGTGCGTGTGTGTGCGCGCGCACGCGTGTGTGTGTTTGCGTGTGTGTGTGTATGGGGGGGAGGGAGAGAGAGAGAAAAAAAAATGGGAGAGAGAGAAAGTGGGAGAGTGGGAGAGAGAGAGAGATTGATGTCCAGAAAGCAGGGTCCTACCTGAGACCAGTCAAGTTAGAATTTCATGAGTTGGGCCTCTTATGATGTTCTGCTTTTCTGAGGTTCTAGTAATTGATTCTCATGTACAACAACTAGGTTTGATCATTTCCTAGAATCGTCTGTAAAAATACCCTGTAATTTAACCACTGTGTTAAACTCTGGCATTATTACTGACCTTGAAAAAGCTTTTAGACTTCTTGCCTTAATTTGATTATTCAAGGCATGGAAACATATCACAGATGATTTTCATTTAAAGAGCAGTACAAATTAATAATATATTGAAAATCAGTGAGATACTTTGAAATCTTTATACAAAATTCCACAACGGAATGTCCCAGTCCATATCTTGTTTTCGGTGGTGAAGGCCAAGGCTTTAACCTCATATGAATCCTTTTTTCTTTCTCAGAAAGTAATCAAATAGAACTATGCTGTTCCAAGTTATTTGCTGTTCAGATCTTAAAACTGATCAGTAGGATTTAAGAATTAGTCCTAATCTAGGAAAATATTGTTAAATTCCAGAAACTTTGAAGCTGAGGAAACGGGTCTTCTCCATTGTAACTTGCTTGGCTCCTGAGTCTTCTCATTTTTGAGTCATTGAAGTTAAACATGTAGTTGATTCTGAAATGAATCGCATTATGAAGAATTGATTTTTTTTCCTTTTAATCATTTTCGATACAAAAGGTATTGCCAATGACTTCATTGTAAAACTCTTGCCTCTTTCAGGTTTTCATTTCTAAAGTCAAAATTGAAAGGATATAAGCAAAAAAAGAGGGCATATAATCCATTTGTGTATTATGAAAATGACGATATGAGGCTTGTGTAAACAGAAATACATATTGCTTTTTAATTCGATATTATGCTTAAATGTTTGTTTTTTGGGTTCAGTAATTCAGTCCAGGTCCTGTGCGTTTTTTCCTAAGATCCACTCCAACACAGGGTCCCTGCTGTGTATGGCCAAATCATTCCGTGTTTTCTCTCTGGTGTTTTTTCGGATTTGCTCTTATTCATGTGCGTGTTGAACACTGGTTTCCACCAGGATTCTGTATACTCCTGGAGGTCAGAGGTCTTGTCTGCTCTATCTTGCTTAGTGTACCATGCGCCTCGCGGGCAAGAACTATAATGACCTAATGCTTACTAGGGGACTTCAAAAAGTTTGTGGAAAGTGGAATTAACATTTAAGTTCATTTTGGTACAGGCAAGAAAAAAAGGTGACACTCGTGCATGATTTTTTTCCTAATACTCATTTTCTATGAACCTCTGGAAGACC